CCAAATTTTTCTGCTGCCCTTAATTTAATTACTTCGTTCCACAATCTCAAATGACTCAATCAATCGCAAAAAGGCCATTTCCCACCATGAGCACGTGAAATCCGATGGCTTTTCCATCCCATGGCTGGAGGGTTTCAGCCCAGCTTTGGCAGACTGATGTAAACAACATGTCAAAAGAATTTTAATTGCTATTTCATTAATGGGGTCCCATTAACAACCTTCCCAAACAGCCCTGCTGATGGCCCATTGCATGGCTGTCCAATTACCAAACAACAAAATCCCCATAAACTCAGGCCCTGGCCTCTGAGGTTAAAGATTAAGCAGTCCCTGGAAACAATAATAATGAGGTATAAGGAAAAAGTTGTGCAAAACACTAGGGTCCCTTTCCCAGCTACTAGCTACCCAGGAAGACTAAGATACTATCAGAGATACCTTGCAGAGGCAAGGGTTTGAGCAGTCCTATTCTAAATGTGGGACTCACGCTCCCCCCACCCCAGAATAACATATACCATAGCATAAATCTGAGGGCATAGCCCTGGGGGAAAACCAAATCCAGAGGAAGCAGGAGGGACTTCCACAACAGGAAGAGATAGGGCCACTCCAAACAGGAAAACAAACAGGCAGCTGGATAAAGAGGGGCGATGTTCTAGCCCCGACAAAGTAACCCTCTCCCCAGAAAGGCTATAGACCTATTAGAAGGCAAAAGTTGGACTTAAAAATAAAGTTACCTTTTTTAGAGAGCAATTTGGCAATATCTATCAAAAAATTTTAAATGCACATTCTCTCTGGTCCAATAATTATGCTACTAAGATTATACCCTATAGGTATACGAGCAAGTGTATGCCAAAGTATTATGTACAAGAATTCTCACTGAAGCATTTTATATAAAAGAGAAAACTGGAAACATTAATGTTCATCAACAGAAAACTAGTTAAATAAGTTAATACTTCATCTACATGATGCAGCAGATAATAAGATACAGCCACACACAAGGGTCTGGAAAGATTTGCAAGATTTTTGTCTTAAGTTGAACAAAAGTACAGTGAGTACAGAATGCTTCTGTTTGTGTAAGTTAAAAAGCATAATATACAAATTCTGTAGGGATACCAAAATACTCCCTCTAATCCCTTCAGAGAGAGAGCCTAGAAGAAGACTTATTTTGCATTTTATACCTTTGTGTACTATTAGCATTTTTTTTTGTCATGAGTGTAAGTTGCTTTTATTGAGTACATTCTCTAAAGTTTTAAAACAGTGGGAGAGAAATGTATCTGGTAACATGGAAAGATGTTCACAATGTACTGCTAAGAATGTTTTCTAAGCTGGAAAATATGCATGTACAATGAAAATTACCTGGAAGGACATACACCAAGGTGTTACCTGTGGTTCTCTCTGGGTAGGCCTGTGGTATATTCTTTCTACCTGTCTGCTTTCTCTGTAATGATCAGGGATGGATTCTGTACTAAAATAGTAATAATAAAAGAAGAAGAAACCTTTTTTTTGGAGAAGAAAAAAGAACAGAGTTCAGAAGCAAATCTGGGGGCTGCAGACAAGTGAAGGCAGAGCCCAGCTGGCCAGAGCCTGGGGAGGGTGAAGGAGGCAGCACAGGACATACCTGCCTGTGCCTCTGGAAAAAGAGAAACCAAAACTAGCAGTCCTAGAAACAGTCCTTGTCCTCCAAAGTGCATGTGATCCACAGCAGTGGTAACCCCAAGATTCCTGTCTCTCCAGCCTGGACCCAGCTCTGAGGCTTTCTCACCGCAGGTGATGAGGTTGGCAGGGAGGCCCCACAGCACAGCCCCGCGTGATGTCTACTTCTGCAGGATGCTCTGCTGTCTTCCTTGATCCCCAAATCACCCTGGAAACAAGGTGGGATATACAACCCCACCATAGAAAGGAGAAAACAGGCCCAGGGTCACTCGAACACCAATGTGGTGGCTGGTCTGATTCCTAGTTCTGATGTGGAAGGTAAGGTCTTTTTGTAGTTTGTTGGCTTAAAATATCTCCTCACTCGAGGCATGGGTCCGGGACGCCTGTGACCACAGGGGCTGACACTGTCCCTTGTATGTGACCCTAGTGGCGCCTACACTCCTGCACTTACCCTTGTATGAGGTAGCAGATCTGTCTTGAGAAGCGGCCATAGTAGAGAGCACCAGGCTCCATCTAAAGTTGGGAGTAGGAGACCAGGGAAACAAAGCCCACATCAGTGGGTGGGTGCAAAGAAGAAAGTGTGAAGAATCACCTTCTACTTCCTTCTCTAAACACTGCACAATCTAATCTTCACTTCACTTCTAATGTCTTTTCATCACGGTCTTATCAACTTCTGCATTATGCCACCTTAAAATTACCTCCCTGCTGTGCACAGCTGAGGGCTACAAAGAAAGCCACCCAGGAGACGGCCATGGGCTCCACAGAAGACCTGCACGACAGGGAGGAGACTCTCAGCCTGCAGATCATGCTGCCCCAGCCAGAGAAGGTGGGATGGCTCCCCCAGGGAGTGAAGGAACAGGTGCCATGTGTCTGGGAGGAGCCACCCAACAGGGAAGAGAAAAAGACACCCACATGGTGCTTCCCCCACCCCAAGATGACTACACATCTTCCGTCTGGCAGACAGACATCAGCTGTCTGCTTGTCGGGGTTTGGTGACTACATGGCACAGGCTCCCAGGCACACACTTCTAGTGGAAAATGCCACCTCTCGTCACCCACACTCCTTGGTTACTGATTCACAGGGCCTGCTATGTCCAAACTGGGCCTGGAAGCTGCAGAATATGGTAGTTATAAACTCTAGCTCTGGAGTCAGCATCTGTCTGGGTTTGAATCCTGCCTTCTGTCCCTACTAGCTGTGTGACCTCAACAAATTCCTTTACCTCTCTGTGCCCTGGTTTCTTCAGCTATTATATGCATTAAATGGGATGAGGCCCATAAAATGCTTAGTGTAGGGTATGACCCAAAGTGAAAGCTCAATAAACACTAGCTAAGGACAGTTCAGCAGGATATCTGCACACACACGTGCATACACACATTTGCAGTGTTGATAGAACCCAATCATCACGACAGTATCAGGACCAGGGAGCACCAAGAAGATGGATGTGTTCCCAACTGCATCGTCCCCACTCTCCCACAGGTGAATCTCATGTGCAGATAGTGAAAGTGACAAGGTGAGAAAACATGGGTATTTAAAGTGGGGCAGAGCCAGGCCAGAAGAGCCTAGGTACCTTTGTTAAAGATGGGGGATTCAGCATATTCCCCAAACCTCAGACGATCATAGCAGCCAACTACAAAAGGATGGGATATGTGTTATTGGTGCAAACATACACACACACTCTATGTGGAAAGAGAGGGCTAGCAGGGGGAGACAAGGAAGAGGAGACAGAGAATTCCTGGCATCTAAACACTCTCCCTTTGCCACCACACCGGCACATGTTTGCCTTGGCCAAGCTCTCAGCTCCTGCTAAGCAAAGCCTGAGCACATCCCTCGAGAAAGTGACGTCTTCAAAGGCTGGGCTGGGGAGCCCTCCCCAGGGAGAAAAGGATGGGGAATATACAGGGGAAAGAGAGCACAAAAGGGACAACAGAAAACATGACAGTCAAGGTTCAACCCAGAAAGAGTCAGCAGGATACATAATCGGGCTACTGGGGTTATCCTTACAAACATCGTCATCATCAAGACCACCTTAACGACAGGTCCTATTTGTGTCCGCAGAAACAAACTTCAGGGAGAAATGAGAGTCTGATCAGACTCCTGATCAGGGGCTTGGCCAGAGAAAAAAATGGTGACAAGAAACAGAGCAAACGCGGGACCTGGCAGGTGTGCAGCCAGCAGGTCCTCAGCTAATGTGCAGACACCAGCTGGATGGGAGAGACAGAACAGAACAGCAGCCACGGCAGTGTTTGGGCAGAGGGAAGAATAAGGTGCTTTATTGCAAGGAAAGGAGGTGGCCGTGACCAAATCTATCAATTAAAATGACCAGACTCGTTTCCTAGGTCACTCATGATCTTTCCTCAAACCGAAATATAAATAGCAATGAAGATTTCTCTCTAGCTTAATAAACATGGTAGACTGCACATTCATATTCATCTCCACTCCCTCCCAAAACCCCATTAAAATATTAAACAACAGGATGACAAGCTCTAGCGGGGAGAATGTCTCCAAGAAAAGTAAATGGAATCAATAGATTTTCTGTTATATTTTGAAGGACTGTTCAGTTGTACCTATCTGACAAGAATTAGTGGTAGTAGCATATACTAAAGGAGAAGATAATTATGAACTGCATTTCTGATTTTAAAAACATTTCCTGATTATAAAAACTATCATTGTAAGACATGACTCAGTTGTGGAAATGACATTTGGAGAATAAAGAGAGGGGACAACTGTATGTGTAGGAGGAGAAAGTGTGAGAGCTCAATCTTACCCTCTGGAGAAGTCAATAGATAATATCTAAAACTAATAAATCAAAAAATAGTGGCATACAAATATTACTTAGATAAATGGAGGGAAGTAGCAGATGAAGTGGTTTTAGCTGAATCAGAACGTGTATTTTAATTCTTTTAGGACTGAAATGGAGAGACCCTGGAGAACAAGACTTGGCGTGGAAAGGTAAAGCAGGGGCTCCCGCTCACCATCATAAGCCTTGAAATTGTATGTGACTCTTAAAATTGGGTTCCTAGAACACCTTGATCAAAATAAAGATTCTCTTAAACATCAAAAATGGCTTATTTCAAGACCTAACTCAAGTTACTCTCCCCAACCCCCAAGTCTTCTCAGGTCTCCTTCCTCTACTTTGCTGAAAATTAATCTGTACCATCCATGTGGCAATTAATCATTTCCATTTGGCAATGAGCTAAACTCTCCCATTGTTAGTTATCCTTCCACCTGTATCTCACCTTCCTAACTAAATCTTAGCTACTGAACAGCAGAGACCACTTCGCATAATCTTTGAGGAGCCTGTAGCTGACTGAGTGATTAAATCCACAAGGTGCAGCGGCCCAGCTCCCTGTTACCTGCGTAGGCGTTGGCCTGCTGCAGAAGGTCAGTGCAGGTGTGCACGTCGGCAAAGGCGCGGATGCCCAGGCAGTTGGTGGGATGCAGCTGGGACTGCAGGAAATCACAGCAGTTCTGCCGAACATCCATGAGCTGCAGCAAGCTGGCTGCCGGGAGCAGCACCTGCAAGAGAAGGTGACACTCTGAGCCATGGGATCCCACCACAGGGACTCATCCCCATAGGCACTGTCCTAATTATGTTGCTCCCATGCTCAAGACCTGTTCATGGCTCTCCACTGCACGCTCAGTAAGTCCAGATTTCCCAGCATGCTTTCCAGCCTTATTTCCCGCTACTCTCTACTTCCTGGACCCCAAGCACCAGCCGATTCTCTGTATCCCTACAGCAGTGCTTCCCGGTCTTCAATCCCCGAGGACCCTTATTAAAATGCAGATTCTGATTCAGTAGGTCTAGGGTGAGGCCTGAGAGCCTGCATTTCTAACAAGACTCCAGGTGATGCTTCCTGCTGCAGGTCCACGAACCATAATTTGAGCAACAAAACCCTACACACACACACACACACACTTCAGCAGACGTTCTCATACTTGGCTGCACAATGTAAGCACCTGAGAAGTTTTAAAAACACTGATGCCTGGGTCTCACCCTCAAGGATTCTAACTTAATACGAATGAGATGTGGCTTGAACGGTGAGATGGTTTTAAAGCTCCCAGCTGCTTCTGAGGTAAGCCAAGTTTGAGAACTACTGCCTGACAGCCTTCAGTGCTCTGTCCTCACTTAGAAAGCTACTTCTGAATTGGCCACTAGTTCACTAACTACTTAATTACTGAGCATCTATGTGCCAGGCACTGGTCTAGGCTCTGGGATTCAGTGGTAAGCAAGATAAACCAGATCTGGCTCTCATGGAATTTATAGTCTACCAGAACAAGAGACTCACCCCCAAATCCCTCAGAACTTAGGCAACCACACTTTATACCCAAAGAACCTCCTTGGGTATATTCTCAGAGAAAGGAAAGCTGAGTTTTCTTTTCAAAGGTCACAGTACACATGAGCATACTGTATTCTGGAAGACAGAAATAGTCCCTGCTCAGGTATATGTACATGTGTTTTTCCTAAGAGCCAGAGGAGACTGGCTGGAGCAGGCCAGCTGAGTGCTCAGACTGTCAACCCCTGTCCAGTTTCCCTAAGATTTTCCCACAGTTGCTGACGCCTGCCCTCTAGGTCAAAAATACAAGGACAGAAGGCCAAAGTCCTACTGCACTCCAGCTCTGCTACCCTGCCTTTCACCTATGGAAGGAGCCAGTAGTCTGAGAATGATGTTCCAGAAAGAAATTTTGAAAAAAAACACAGAACAATTCGATTTAAGGCTGCTTAACTTGGGGGCCACAGCATCCATTTCACCGCAGAGCAATCCCCTGTCCTAGGCCTTTGCTCTCAGCTGCCTCCCTGGCTCTCAGAGAGAGTGACCGAGCCAGCCACACTCCAGGTGTTCCCATCCACATGGGCTTCCCCAGGAGGACAGGAGCTGCAGATGCATTTGTTTTCTTGATTCAGGGCACTACAAGTCTCTTAAGTGATTTAAATCATGGGCCCTGACCTTTTTCCAAAACAGCTTCGAGCCCTCAGCTGACTCTCATGACCTCTATGTGCTCAGGCCAAAAAACTCTGCGCCACTGCCCATTCTTGGGCCTTGTCCCTCCACTAGGGTAACCAACTGTCCTGCTGTGCCCAGGACCGAGGGGTTTGCCGGGAGTCTCAGTGCTAAAACCTGGATGCTTGGTCACCCTTGATTATCCCCTGCCCACATGCAGCGCCCACCACTGTCAGCAGGCACACTCCCGAGCTCAGTGCCTGCTCTCAACAAGGAAAGCTTCTACCGTCGGCAAGCTTAAACTTCTCCCTCGCGGAAGCTAAGTTCTCGACCACATGCTCATTTTCCCTTCCACTACCCTCTCCTCCACTCTCCTATATCCCCAGCAAGACAACAACAAATTAGCTCCATATCCATGGTATTTTCTGAACCACTGATTTGTTCCTGAGAAAGAAAACAATAAAATCACCATTTCCCGAGAGTTTTACACCGTAGGGGAACACAGGCAGGATCCAAATCTAACCACCTGAGCTCCCTCCCCACTAGGCAGCCACTGTCTCCATTAAGCAGCCATAAACTGGGAAACTCGATTAACCTGTGAGATTGCTCACCCTGGCCAAACAGATGCCAGGACCAGATTAGTCTCTGCCTGCTAGTTAAGTAGAGATCCATTAACCATTCTTGCTGAGCCTTCAAATGACCTCCATGACACACACACCCCCTCCTGGCCGGCACCAGCTACAAAGAATAGAATTAAAGCCACAGGTTCACCAATCATCCTGATTTGCCTGGGACTTTACTGATTTGGGCAACTGAAAATCCCCCATCCCAGGAAACGACTTAGTGCTAAGCAAACTGGAACAGGTATTCACCCCAACCTCTAACCAGTGACCTTAGGGAGCCGTAGGGTAAAGGAAGCCATCAAATATTGTCCAGCATACACCCTACGCAGAGGCATGGCCAGCCCCACCAGGGCCAGGTGAGAAGAGGCAGAAATGCCACAGTAGCCCCTTACACCAGCAGGAGGCTTTCTGAGAGTCCAGTCCACCCCCAGAGTGCATTCCCAGCCAACCCCCAACAAGATCATGCCAGCGACACACAGTCCCTTCCCCTTCCCCTCTTCCGAGAAGCCAGCACCATGGTTTGGTGCTTAAATTCTCAAGCTCATGACAACCAGCCAGGGAAATGAAATAATATTTCCTGAACATACTCGTTAGGTTACACTTTCAGTTTTCAAAACATCCCCGGATAGAGCTACCCACATAGCTTTTAACTTCCCCACTGTTCACAACACCCACTTGGTAGACAAAAATTAAAAGGCCTTTCCACCTCTCCGCGCCCCCCATCCTGTTTGGGTCCACTCCTGCCCAAAAGCATTCCCCAACTGACTTCCTAAAATGAATGGAGCTGTGGTTTCTCTAATTGCTCTTTCCCTCTCTTTGATCTCACACTGAGATTAGCTATGAGTCAAAAGCCCTTTTCTTCCCTCTGCTTGCTTCAAACAGGAAGGCGTGAAAAAATGTCAAGGAAGTCAGAATGCAGAGGGGGAAGATTTGGAGGCTGGAAGATGTATCACTGCTCAAACTCTGGGTCTTAGGGACAAATGAGGGCCCAATCCAAAGGCGTTCTGGAGTCTGGACACGACTACAAAACAAATTCCCAGAGGCTCTGGAAGAAAAGAGAGCAAAACATCCGTGAGGTGACTGTCTTCAGTTCCCTCTCTCCAAAATCAACAGGGCTTTGAGGGGATTTCCTCTTCTCTTATCTGGCCAGAAACTCTACTCCCTTGGCAGCAGCAGTGACAAGATTAGGAACAAGAGGCCAAGTGTGAGTCCCCAGCTTTGAAGCGAGACTGTCCTTGCGGAATCCCTGGGGCAGTACTGCTTGGTCCCCGCAGGGCAGAGGCTGAGACCAGACAAGTAGCTGGCTGTCATCAGGTTGGAAGATCACCCTAAGCCAACAGCGTCTAGCTTGCCTTTCACCAGCCCAGCATTACAGTTCTCGGAAAACTATGGCCCTAAGCAAAGAGCCTACAGGTTCCCCTTCGGCTTGCAAATGGCCTCCCTTCCATTTTTCACGTGCAGACCTGGTTTTGTTTTTTCCCTCCCTCAGATAACACGAAAACACAGCAGAGGATATCCTGTCACGGCGTTTGCTTCCTTTAGTAAAAACAAAAGGAAATGCCCTGCCTCGGAGAGTACCTACTCCTGGAATTGCGGGGAGGCAGGGCCCTGCACGGGGGAGGCACCAGCCAGGGGCCACCCAGGGCCTCTGCCCCGCAGCGAATCTGGCACAGAAACAGCGCTAAGTAAAAATCTGATCAGAGAAAGAAGAAAGAAAGGAAAAGAGGGAGAGAGAGAGATGAACAGGAGAGCTGGTAGAACAGCACTGTGCCATTCTGAATTTGACTCCTCCGCTGACCAGCCATGTAACTGGGAATAAACTACCTACTCTCTCTGTGTCTCTGTCTCCTCAATAGCAAAATGAAGATGACAGTGTAATGCCTAAAGCAGGGTCCTCAAACTTTTTAAACAGGGGGCCAGTTCACTGTCCCTCACACCGTTGCAGGGCCGGACTATAGTTTTAAAAAACTGAACAAATTCCTATGCACACTGCACATATCTTATTTCGAAGTAAAAAAACAAACGGGCAAAAACACCCACATGTGGCCCTCGGCCGTAGTCTGAGGACGCCTGGTCTAAAGGGTTGTTGTGAGAATTAAATGAGACACAGTTAAAGCAGGTAACACAGTGCTTGGCACACAGGGAGTGCTCAGTTAATATCAAGTTTTTATTGTCACAAGTCATTACAAGCTGAAGCCAAGGTTCTGATCGTTCATTTAACGAGAAACTGGAGTTCATCACAGCCACAGAGCACAGTGAGTTGAAAAGGGCTGGCGTCAGCTCCTAGCTCTACCTAACTCCGGATGAGACGATGGCGGGTTATTTTACCCCTTTGAGCATCAGTTTCTTCAGGCTTTTGCAGCTGCAGGGAGGGAAGGATCATACTGGTACATTCCATTGGGTGGTTATGAATTAAATAATGCAGGTGAAATGACTGGCACATGTTTGGCTCATAACGAGTGTTAATGTCAGTGAGGGCTGCTGTCATCTCCACATGGGAGGAGAACTCAGGGCCTCTCCAAGTTACGTGTGGCTGGGCGGGGACCAAGGGCGCAGCTCTCGCGCCATTTAACCAAGCCCAGGTCCCCGACCGACCGTTGTTTTGGAGGCATTCGGGAGAGCCCCAGTGCCCCCATGCTCATCTTCCCGGCGCGCCAAAATCCCCAAATGGTCCCGTTTTCATGGCTAACCTGTGAGTATCGGCCTACGCAGATTCACAACAGCACAAAGAAGAACCCATTTTGATCCAAACTCTCTTCTTCTCCATTTTTTATATTTTGTTTTGCCCCACGGCCACCCCTGACCTAATCACAGTTTCAAGTGAGGTGGACAAAGGAAAAGGAATAGTTATAATAGTATGTCACATTCATTCTAAATGATGACGGTTCCCCGAAGGTTCCACGTGGTGCCTCCCAGTGGAGCCTCGCGCTCCACACACACGCAGATCAACACGGCAGGTCCTCGAGGCGCCCACCGGCCAGTGGGAACACAGGCAGGTGGGCGGGGCGGGCAGGCCTGACTTCCCGTCTTCTTTCAAGATCTGGTCTGCACAGCGTTTCCTCCATGGGGTCTGCCCTGGCCATCCTTATCCATCCGTATTGGAGTAGGAGTGACTATTCCTGCTCCTTGGGTCCCTTCTCCCTGGCCTCACCCCAGCACAGGTTACCCACTTGCTTAGCCGTCTGTCTACACCCTTAGACCACGTGCTCCATAGAGAAGCAGCCTGTCACAGTACTCTATGCCCTAGTGTCTGCTGACACAGGACAGGAGCTCAGAGAAAGGTGTATTAAATGAATGAATAAACAAAGGAATAAGACGATGAGACCCCACACACAGTCTACCAGGAGGAAGGAGGAAAAATTGAGACAGCCCCCTTAGCCCTGTGCTTCTACCCTCCATCTGGTGAGATCCCTTAAAGATCCCAGAACCCTCTCCTCAGAACAACAGCTGGCACCTAGCCTGGGCCTCTGTCCTTGCCAAGCATCCTGGGCAGGAGGTATCCCAAACTATCCCCCACTTGGGAGAATTCCCACCCACTTCCAAGCCAGACTGGGTTAGTCTTTTCTTCCCACCCCTTACCATGGCTCCTACTCCCTACCTGCTTCTTCCCCCTCAGTCCCCATCAGCACCCAGGCAGAGGAGAGACCAAAGCCTTCATGCACACACGACTCCACTATCACCTCCCTATTTTAGGTAATAATAGCCAACACTTATTGTTGACCATGTGCCAGGCACTAAGTGCTCTACCTATATTAATACATTTAATCCTCATACCAACCCTATGAGGTTAAATACTATGATTATGCCCATATTACAGATGAAACATTGAGGCACAGAGAGCTTAAGTGACTTACTTAGGGTCACACAGCCAGAAAATGGTGGAACCGGGATTCGAACACAGGCAACCTAACTCATGACTACCCCACAGAATGGATAGTATTATGATTCCTGTTTTACAGATGAGAAAACTGATCCTTGAGGCAGGGTGTCAGTGGGGGTATTAGAGAAGCTCTGGTAGGAGAGACAGAGAGCAAATCAGAGGTAGGCACAGTGAGTCCCACGCCCTCACGTTACAGAAGGGAAAACTGACACCCTACAATGGGAAAGGGCTAAGTCCACTCTATGAATTATTATTAATATCAGCCCTGATATTATTAATATCGGCCCTGATCTCCTTTCATACTCAATTTTCACCTCATCCCTGTTTCCACTTGTCCTCTGAGCTGTACATCTTCACTCTGGCCCTCTTCCCCTCCCCTACAAAGTAGTTTTAAAAAGCAGCAATAAAGCCATTTTTCTTCAGGGTCCTCTGTGCTAGCTGCTGCCACCTGCCCTAAGATAAATGGTTTTATAAACAAGAGAGAGACCACCACTGGGTTAGACCGAAGTTACAAAGATTACCTTTTTACCTTATTACTTTTTACTTATTCACTTATTAATTTACTTATTATTTATTACTTATAACCTTATTATTATGATGACCTATTATTAACTTATTACCTAGCCAAGCAATAAGGGCTCTTCCAATTACCCAAGTTTGCAAACACTTTGTACTTTACAAGAAAAAAAGTAAACACATGATGAAAAGAGAAGAAAGCTGGTTCCAATCATACAGTTCTACAACCTCCCCATACTCATTTTATACCATGTGATTTTGCACTTACTGTTACTGCCCAAAAGTCATTCGGCTGTTTGAATTCTGCTGCTAGACCTACTGTGTAACCACTGCATCACCCACTCCATTCTGGATGGGAAACCAGCAACAAAGTGGAATGGCTGTACACCTTACTGTGCATAAGATACAACTGAACTAAAAAAGGGAGGGGGGAAGATTAGACCAAATCACTACCGAAATCATATAACCCAAGAGATAGTCTCAGAGGCCAGAAACAAAGGCAGGCTCTGTTGTAGGCGTGGACTCTGCATTTCCAAACGCAGTGTGCGTCAGACTCTGCTTGCCTACCCTGATCCCTCGTGAGTAGCACCAGCTACCCACACCAAGCTAACTCCCACTCGCCTCGCAGGCCTTCCCTCCTCAAAAATCCCTTCCCTGATCCCCTCCCCCTCCATTCAAACTGGGTTCCCTTAATATTCTTTCTCACTGTACTATCCATGTTCCTTTTCTTCAAAGGAAGTATCACAATGTGTGCATAGACATTGCTTGTGTGCTTCTTTGGTGAATGTCTGTCTTCACCTCTAGACTGTAAACTCCTCGAGGGTAGGCAGCGGAATCACCACTGCTCACTATCACAACCACAGAGCCCAACAGAGTGCCTGGCGTATAACAGGAACTCAGACATTTGGGCTAAATTGAAAGGATAACAATTGTCAACTCAGCCTCCCAATGACCTTGATCTGGACAAAGGGGTGGTGTGCTGGATAAGGTAAGACAAATAGGTATTTTGATCACGCAAGAGGTATCAGTCACACATAAGGTAGTATTATGCTTTAAAAAGAAAAGGAAAAGAAAAAAGACTTTCATAGCACATGTAATTTCCATCACTCTACACAGCAAGATTCTTAAGGAAGAGATATAGCATGCCCCATGTCTGTGCTTAAGCCAGTGATCTGCAGGGTTTAAGAGTGGGCTACCCCCTCAACCGTCCCCCTGCTGGGGCAGGATGCTGATGCCCGATGTTCCCCACAGACACCTCCTCTGGGGGAAGCACCGTCTTCACTGGCTCCTCTTTTCGAGGCTCCAGATGGCTGAGGACGAGGTAGGGCAGCGAAAGGAGGACAAGGCAGATGACACGTTTCACAACCGCACACCCCTGCCAAGACTCGGTCCTGGCGCTTGGCACCTCCGTGTGCTCAGAGGCATTTGGATGACTAATGTTGAAAGAGGAAAAATTGTAAAAGCCTCGCTATCTAATGCTCAAAACCCCCGAGATGAGATGATGACCTGGGAAGAATAAGGGTCCCCCCCCAAGCTTCTAGTTCTTCCTTCACAAGGTTTTGAACCAACATGAGCTAAGGACTGTCTGCTCCTGGGGCCCAGGCACATTCAGAGGTATCACGGCCTAGTGGTTAAAAGAACACTAAACTGGCCGGGCATGGTGGCTCACGCCTGTAATCCTAGCTCTCTGGGAGGCCGAGGTGGGCGGATTGCTCGAGGTCAGGAGTTCGAAACCAGCCTGAGCAAGAGCGAGACCCCCGTCTCTACTATAAATAGAAAGAAATTAATTGGCCAACTAATATATATACAAAAAATTAGCCGGGCATGGTGGCGCATGCCTGTAGTCCCAGCTACTTGGGAGGCTGAGGCAGGAGGATTGCTTGAGCCAGGAGTTTGAGGTTGCTGTGAGCTAGACTGACGCCACGGCACTCACTCTAGCCTGGGCAACAAAGTGAGACTCTGTCTCAAAAAAAAAAAAAAAAGAACACTAAACCATGGGTGCCCAAGCTAGGTGGGCATGAGTTTGGGGATCAGCTGGTCTACCTACTGGCTGTGTGACATGGGGCAAGTCACCTAACCTCTCTGGAGCTTTAGTTTCCATTTCAGTGACCAACTCAGTTGTTGTGAAGGTTACATAAACTAATGCTATAGGCCGGGTGTAGTTGCTCACACCTGTAATCCTAGCACTCTGGAAGGCCAAGGTGGGAGGATTGCTCAAGGTCAGGAGTTCAAAACCAGCCTGAGCAAGAGTGAGACCCCATCTCTACTAAAAATAGAAAGAAATTAACTGGCCAACTAATATATATACATATATATATATATATATGTATATATATATTAAAAAACTAGCCGGGCATGGTGGTGCATACCTGTAGTCCCAGCCACTTGGGAGACCTAGGCAGAAGGATTGCTTGAGCCCAGGAGTTTGAGGTTGCTGTGAGCTAGGCTAATGCCACGGCACTATTGCCGGGCAATAGAGTGAGACTCTGTCTCAAGAAAAACAACTAATGCTGTAAACTGGTGGTTCCTAAGTGTGCAACACACTGAGCTGTCAGCTGGGGCTGAGTTTACCTGGACGTTCTCTTCGGTCACCTCGATTTCAGCTGTGTAGATATAGTCGATCAGCTTGCTCAACGTCTGCCCGTCCACATCCTTAATTTCAATCTTCTTGGCTTTACTCTCAGACATGTCACCTACAATTCACAACAAAAACAAAAAGAACATGAACACGACACCCAGGGTATGCTTAACTTCCACACACCTCCCATCCTCGCTCAGAAACAAAAGCATCGCCTGTGCTCTGGGAGAGAGTGGGAGGGATTCCGGCATGGGGGAGGACAAACGAGCTGACATCAAGGTCACGGCAACATTGGTTCTGTGATCACCCACAAACCCCATCTTAAGCAGTCCTCGTTCTGTCTGTTGCCCATTTCCATTTTGGAGGCAAGTCTGTGTGCAATCACCCATTCAACCCACATTTACTATAAACCTCTACATACGAGGCCAGGAAATGTGAACCAGATATGCTCCTGTCCTCAAGGATCACAGGTCTAGTAAAGCAGATGTACAAAAATACTCATAAACATCGGTGACAAGAGCTTAGTAGTCTGGTAACAAGTGCCATTCATTGAGTACTAATTATGGCCAAGCACTGTGTTTAAATATTTTAAGCCTTTCCTCTTTTAATCCTCACAACCTATGAGATTGACTAACATTATCCTCATTTTACAGATGAAGAAACTGAGGCACAGGAGGGTAGGCGATTCATTTTGCCCACAATCATATACCTAGGAAGGGACCAAATTGGGCTGAAACCCAGGGAGTCTGACTCTGAAGCCCACACGTGTGCCCACAACACTATGCTAAATCCTAAGAACGCAGAGGAGGGAGCAAGCAACCCTGTCTGAGAGCTCCAGAGAGGCATCCTAGCAGGGGGATGAGCTGGATGTTAGAGGATGAAGCAGAGTTCCACAGGCAGCGAAAGTGAGAAAAGACGGGCTGGGTGAGGGACCCACAAGTGCAAAGGGGAGAAAGTGCCAAAAGGATACATTTGGGGAACGGCACTCAATAAATGTTACTTATTCTTGTGAGAGGCTGGCACGGCTGGTACAAGGGGCGACAGTGAAAAGAAGGAAGCTGGAGAGGCAGACAGGCCAGGGTGTGCAGAGCCTTGTAAGTCACATAAACAAGTCTGGCTTTATCCTAAGGGTAGCACCACTGAGGGATCTGACATCAACTGAGGGGAACGACATCAGCAGATGGATATTTTTGAATGAAATTTTGGATGCAGGGTGGAAGCTACATTGGAGGCAAGGAGAACAGCAGGGAGGCCCTGATCATAATCCAAGACAGAGAAAAGGTGGGGCTGTGACTGAGGGCGGCAGCGGCACATTTCCACGGTCCCCGGGCCCCGACTCCAGCCTGTGTTCTGTACACAACACACAGGTTTATCCAGAGCCAGGCTCACTGGACAAGGGCTGCTGCTGTCAGCAGGAAAGACAGGCAACACGTGTGTCTGTGTAGACTGCAATAAAGGACAACCTGACTGCAAGAAACAAGGAATCCAGAAGCCCTGATGTGAGTGTGAAAACAGAGCCTGGGCGGTTTTCCTCTCTGTGGAATTTGTGCTTTGGAGCCAAGAAAATAAAATACAGTACAGCGTGTGGGCTGCAGACACCCACCTCCAGGCTGCGTGGACGGCACATGATCCCTCCACCAATCCACAGTGCCCGTCCCAACACACTTCTACATCTGAATGGCTCTGGAACAGGGAGGAAAGCGGGGAGGAGGACATTCCAAACCCTGCCTACTCCCTGTGCTGCCAGATCAGGTGGACGTGAGATTCTTCACTCTCTTCTCTATCCTCTGCCTACCAGTGAAAAGGCCTCAGCACAAAGAGCCCTGGAGCAGAACAAAGACGCAAAAAGGAAACAGGAAAAGATGGTAGATTCCTCCTTTACTGTAAGACAGGCTCTCATAATCTCTCTCCTGAGTTTATTCTGAGACACGTAAACAAAAACATGCACACACACGAAAATCAGAAGTTAAGCTTCTCTCTCTAAACAGCCATTAAGAAGTTCATTAATGAAGGTCCAGTTGGTGATTATATTACAAAAGGTAATCAAAGATAGCCAATTATAGTGTAAGAACTTGGTCCTTAAAAAATAAAAGTAAAAGAAAAAGCAGCCAGACTGCAAGAACCCAGAGATTCAGAAGCCCACATGGGAGTGTAAATCAGAGCCCAAGATGACTGTTTTCCATCTGTGGAATTGGTGCTTGGGAGTCAGGTTTCGGTTTTGTAGCTTTGGGGTAAACAAATGGAAGCTCCTGAAATTATATGAAAATATTTTTATATAAGCATAAAAGTTCAGTTTTTCTGGGGGAATGACAGATCATTTTATCAGATTCTTACATGGATCTATGACTCAGAAATGGTGAAGACAGTTTTCTGGACAGTGGGACTTTGGGAGACCTTTTCTTGCTTTCTTTAGATATATTCTGAAATTTCTAATTTTCTATATTAAATATGTAAAATTTCAATAAGGAAAATGTGAAATAAAAACTAGGGGCTCAAAGACAATAGTTATTTTCTAAGAAAGCTCTTTTGTAGTAAATTAGAGAACTGTGTAAGTCACACAGACTTGTAGAATCCAATCTTACTATCTCTTAAGAACCAATAAAAATGACTACACCAAACTGAGACTTTAGCTTAAATAGGCCCGAAAAATAGTCATACTAACAGTCACTACCATGTACCAGGCCCTCTGTGAAGGCTTTTTTATACGTATTATCTCATTTAATCCCCTTAACAACCCCATGAGGTAGATGATATTACCTTTATTATAAATTATAAAGTTGGCATTTCAGGAGGTATTTACACATAGGTACTAAGAAGCAGGGCTGGGATTTGGATCTTAGCCTAACTCTAGATCCCATGTCATTTCTAATAAATCCCTCTATGAAATCTGACACTAACTGATGACCTTAATAAAAGTATTCCCAAACTCAAGGCATCGGTCCAAATGCTGAGGGCAAGTTAGGACTTCATACCTACCAAAGAGCCAAACAGGCTGGGATCTTGTCAAGCTTATTTGTCAAGATATCCTCACCATGCAACACAGCGCCTGCCACGTAACAAGGACTTAAAAAAAAATCTGCTGGAGTGAGAAAAAAAGGAAGAAGAGAGGTTCTCTTGACATCTCATAATTCTATGGGCTTCAGTAATTCCTGAGGGGTAGAAACCATCAAGGGTTTGGTCATTCTTGCTACTTCACTCACTTCTAACAGTTTGACAAAATATTTCTAGGAAATAGAACATGAACCTGTATGTCCTCCCATCTTTAAAGTCAAACCAAGCACCCTCCTCCACTAGCTTTTCCCCAGAAGAGGGAAGAAGCTCAGTCGGCCACCTCAGGCTCTGAACTTTCAGAAAATGCCTGTTGGTTGCACATCTTTTTAGCCCTTTCCATCTTGTGCTTGTCATCTGTTAACATGCATGTCCTGTTTCTCCAAATAGAACATGATCCACTCAAGGACAGGTATGTGCTCGTTCATTCACTCAGCAAACATGTATTAAATGTGTCCCTACATGCCAAGCACTGAGCTAGGCCCAGAGGACGTAATGGTGAACAAGTATGTCCCTGTCCTTATGGAGCTCAGTCTGGTGACTGAGAGACAAGTAAACAGACAATTGTAGAGGTGGAGGGTGTTAAATGCTAGAAAGGAGGACTCAGCTTGAAAGGTTCTTAAGCCAAGGATTCTTGTACCTTAAACCTATATAAAAAAAAAAAAAGATGAGCACACAACAGCACATATTTGCTTTTCTGGGGATAGAGTCCATTGTTTTCATCAGATTGGTTAAGAACCATTGGTTCTTCATCACAGTGGTTAAAACCCATTCATCTGGAGAAGGAGCCATAGTTATTCAGAAGAGAAGTTAGAATGAAGGAAGAATGTTCCAGACAGAGAGAATACCATATGTAAAGATCTGGAGGTAAGAAAGAGCACGACCTATCTGGAAACCACATGAAGTTCAGTCCGGCTGTGGCCCAGCATGCAAAGGGAAGAGTGATGAGATGAGGCTGTGGATATGAGCAGGGACTGGATCACTCGAGTGCCTTTTGAGCCATGCTAAGGACTTTAGACTTCATTCTGAGGGCAATAGGCAGCCCCTGACAGATTTTAAGCATCAGATTAATACGCCATTAATATTATAAAATTAATATCAGATTTTATTTGGGGATGATCATTATAGCCACAGTATGGAGAATAAGTTGGAGATGAGGGAACAAAACAGGTGGCAGGTTGACCGATTAGAAGGCTGAGGCAGAATGTCAGGTGAAAGATGATGGAGGCCTGAACTAAGGGACTGTGTCTTGAACTTTAAATCTTCAGATTCTACCTTAGGGCCTTGCACCTTAGCAGTCTCTGAGGACCACAGAGAGCTCAGGAGAGCAAGTATTCCCACAAGTCTATTAGGTACAAGCGTCTGAGTCTTAGTTCTAGATCCTAGCAAGAGCACCATGGGCACAGCTGAGACTTTTTCAGGTGAAAGTCTGCCAAAGAGGAGCAGGAAGAAGGAGGCTGGGTTGGAAGAGTGAAAGAGGAAAATGTTTTGCTATCACAGAAAACTCAAGATGTCTAGAAGAATCACTGGCTCATTTTCCAGGTCACTGGTATAAATATCCAACCCTATTACTAAGTAAATGAAGACTTTAGAATGAGAAAGAAATGGGAGAGTGGATGGCAGGTCTCTCTAAAGAACTACAGCTACAAAGAACCACCCCTACAAAGTTACATGTCCTTAAAGAGAAGGAAAACTTGTGTTTAAGAGTCCTTATGTTATAGAATTCTTCCTTGCTCCTAACTTGAATTACTGCCATAATTTAGTCTCATGTTCTGGGTAGAAAGAAAACAGGAAAATCTTTATCATTTATACAATAATTCTTCATGGACACTGAGATGGTTATGGAACTTTTTTCCCTCTAACCCTCATGTAAATCTTGCAATTTGGGTTGCCAACTTGTTTGGCTAGAGCTGAACACTACTAAGGCCTACATCAACCATTAACCTCATGTGAGAGAAAGACTCTGCCACCTCCTTGAATCCTGGTCACCCCCACTGCAGGTGAGTGGTCTGGGTCATTTGACCAGCAAAGGCTGATCTCCATCACCTGTGAAACAAGGACATCCCC